ACATTAAGGAAGCAATTCGATTTTATCGCTTCCTCATGACTACACGTTCAATTATTGAAGAGTTTACGTTTTGCCGTCGGCGTTCCAGCCGTTCCCCTGAATTCCAACACTTCCCCCGACTTCGTAGCCCCCAACCGGAGGTTAGAGCCTTAAGTAGTCGTGTGCTGGCCTCTTTGCCAAAAAGCATTTTGCATACATTTGTCTGTCTTTCGGTCGGAGATTTTTCGAATGGCAGTGCGTGTGTGTTTTGTACTCGGTTTAGGAGGTAATTCTTTTCAATTGTTGTCTTACAGGGCGTTTTACAAGCCGTTTTCTGTTGCCTGCTTTTCGGGGGTGGGTTAATCTGGTCTGAAAATCGATGCATTGTCTCCTTTTATTTGCTGTTTGTTTGCTTGATTAATCAGTCTGTTTTTCGATGGAATTAAAATCGTTAATATAAGTACTAAGTGCATCTAAAAGACTGGTTTAAAATTATATCACCAAAACATTTCAGTTATAAACAGGGAACGTAACTGTTATAAGTTTTATTTTAAAAATCACACTTTAACAGTTATTCTCTGATTTGTAAAGTAAAACTCAAAGAATAACTGTTATTTTTTGAGTTTTATAATAAAAGTTGACAAATAACAGTTATTCGTCTTGATCAAAATAAAACTCAAACTTGATTTATGGCGATTTTGTGGGTAAACAAAATTTTAAAAAAATATAGGTATAAAATATGCGCGGTTGCCTTTTTTAACAAATTTTTAGTAAGTTATAAAAAGCACGGGTATTATGTTTTTTTTAATTATTTCATTTTTCCAAAAATGTCAAGGGAATAACTGTTATTCATAAAAATCAAAAAATAACAGTTATTTTTTGAGTTTTATTATAAAAATCAAAAAATAAAAATCATTACGGATTTGTAAACTAAAATGGCTAATAAAAATTGTGGTGTATTTAAAAAATTTTTAGGACCCTTCTAAGTGCGTGATTTTTTTGTATGAAAAATTTACAATAACAGTTATTTTCGTTCCCTGGTTATAAAGTCAAAAATGTTTTAAAAATATCAAATCATTTTAAAAAGTTTTATTTTTATTTTGTCATATTAAAGCTGGTATATAATACTAAAATTAATTTAAAAAGTTATTAGCTATGTATTTACCTGTGCAAAGTCTTTTTATAAAATAACCTGGCAAAATTGTACAATAGAACCCTAAGTAATGCCCATTGGAGCCCATTTCCTGATATTGGCCATTCCACGAACTGTCTCCCATTTCGTTTTTAATATTTACCCATTTTGATTATCCAATACAGAGCGAGGCCAGACCTGAATCAAAATTGAAATCTCTGCGCCGACAAGAGCATTTAGGTGGCGATGAGGCCAACTTCCGACCTTGTCCCCGCGCTCTGGGCCCTGTCAGCCCATCCAGCCTGTTCAGCCTTTTCAGCTTTTCAGCCAGCCTCTGCTGTTTGCATATCAATTTGGGAATAAGCAACTCGGAGCTGACAGCGTTTGTGTCAACATCAACAACTGCTTGGTATGCGTGGCAGGCGGACGATGAGGTTGCCATTCGGGCCACATACAAAATACAAATGAGCCATTGTGGGTCACGTAGCGCTCAATAGGTCAACGGGTCATAACAGATTCGTTTCGATATTTGTTTATCGATGGCTTTCGGTAAAGCGACCCCAACCAATCGCCCGCCAGCCTGCCACATGTAATTAATAAACAATGGACGACGGACTTCTCGGCCTTTTCCGCCCCCCGACGGTCGATCACAAATTCAGCGAATTAGCGAAGAAATTAAAAAGTAATTTCTGCACAGCAACAAGGACCGAAGGATTTGCAGTTGTCAGTTGAAAATGTTGCGCATGCAAATGAAGAGGAAGATCCGTAAACGGCTGATGATGATGGTCTGACAACGATGCCAACTTCAGACCGAAGTTGAAACTTTTAATTTGATTTGCAGCATTTTAATGGATTTTAATGAAACGCAAACAGGCGACGATTGCAGCAAAGAACAGTGGAGACGACAAAAAAAAGAAGCGGCGAAAAGGACACTCAAGGGGCTGGGAGTGAAAAAAGTTTTGACAAATGCCAAAGCGCGAAAAATTCACTCCACTTTATTTTCGGTAACTTAGACGCAACGCAGCTCAAGAACTTCCACTTGATAAGCGCGCCTCCCAGACAGACGTTCCCTTTCCGTTTGTTAATTGAAAATGTTTGAAATTCCACGCCGACTGTCGGCTAAATCACAAAAATCGTCAGGGGCGCGAATAATTCAAAATTAATTTCAATTAAGTGTACTTCCCGGGAATCGTGAATATGACAGCTATGAGTCATAAGTCATGCATGCTTTTGCTGCAGACAGACGGACAGATGGGCGGGCTAATTAAAATTACATAAATTACGCATACGCCATGTGGCCGCGGCTCGCGCAAAATGAAGCGAAAATGTGAAAAGTTTCGGCATTTTTGATCAAAAGTCCATGGGCCGGCTAATTTGATTAGCTCCCAGGCCCAGGCTCATTAAGAGGTCTTGCCCTTTGTCCTGTGTCCTCTTCGCTTTTTGTCCGCCTCCCTCTTGTTTTTCGCACTTTCCTCTTTCTCGGCTTTCCATCTTGGCATTTTCCCCTTTGTCTGTCCGCGCTGTTTGCGGGTGTGTGTGTGTCCCATGGCCTATCTTTCGGACAGAGCTCATGCAACATTTAGTGGCAACTAATTGCAGCAGCATTGAAATTAATTATTTAACCCTTTTTATTGTTTAAGCCCTCGCTCGGCTTTCGACTTTTGGCTCTCAGGAGCCGCACCCGTTGCCTTTTCGGGCCGCGCCTCATTAGCATAATTAATTGTGCAAATTTGCGAAGTTAAACAAGTTATTATTTCAAATTAAACGAGTACAGTTCGTCACTGCCAAACGGCCGAAATTGTCAGGGAATTTAATAATAATTTCTTTGAAATCATCCGCAGACCTGTGACCGTTTTGAAGGCTTTGAAGTACAAGTTAAGTAGGTTAAAAAGCCGTTAAATCATTACAAATATTTTAGATAAATGGATACTCATGCTGAGTACTTTAAGTGCCTAGTACTTAAAAACATAGCAGAACAAATATAAAGCAATAAATATATATCCTTAAAAATCAATAAATGAATTGCAGTTTTATAGAAAACTCCTTCAGTAAAATAAATATAAATAAAATCAAAAAAATTAAACAGGTTTTTTCCTCTTTATTTTTTTAAAGTATTGTAAGTATTGTAGAAATGTAAGTAACAAATAAAATGTTTTGCCCACTTTAGAGATTCACTTTAAATCTAGGCTAAAAATTCATGGAAACGGCCGACGCGTCGGTCAACTGCACACATTGTAAATATTGTTTAACGACCAAACCGATTTATTTTCCAAGCCCTAGCTTTCAATTAAAACTGCCATAGTGAACTCGGGCACCAACCTGTCTGTTATAATACAGATTAGCGATTCGAACTCTGAATAAACGCATTGAAATCCATAAATTGAATTATTTATTTATCTTATTTATTTGAATTTTTCATGAACAGCAAGAAAACAAAGAACAAATGCATTGCAGTTCGCCTTTTGAAATATTTTACACAATTTAATGGCATTCGCCAAAATGAAAAACTAAAGTAAATGCTTTTATATACATTATCGTTATCTGCTCTCGTTTATATTTATTTTATCGTGTGTGTTTTTTATTCTTTACAACCGAAAGATGTGCGAATGAGTAGGTAAATTAATTTATACATTTATATTTTATAATTTGCATGTTTTTTCCACCAAGCACGCTGAGTTTTACTTTAATTGGATATACTTAAAACAAAAAAATTATTTCAGAGACGTACAGGCTCCATTTCATCGCTATACCATAGTACAATATACCATATATATTTTTAGTTGGCCGTCTGTTGCCAGATCCTTTTTAAAGGGCTTTGACCCTGTGGATAATGAGTAGTGTCTATTTGTAGTTGCTCAGCTAAAAGAAATTTTTATTGCGTTTTGTTAAGTTTTATTATCTATGTGATTTTGCTGTTGGTTTTTTATGTCGGCCTTCGTAAATACATGCTGAGAAATATAGCGAATAGCTCTATATACATACGTATATGTTTGAGTCTGGCTTAGTGACATGATTTATAGTTGTTTGTCCTCTGTTTTAAATGTTTAAAATTGTATTTACAACATATTTATGCTAGACTTAATTATAATGATTTTTACAGCATCTGCATTCTCGTATTTCACAAATAAAATCGCATTTTATTCCATTAATTCTGCTTTTATGTGTTCACTTATTTTTTATGGTGTTTCATATGTGTTATTTTTTATACTTTACCCAAAACCCTTGGCATGGGGTGTGCGCGGATATATTTGCTCGAAAAAATGCCCATGTGCTCTACGAATGAAAATCAATTGCCGAACAACAATCGAAAAAATTACGCTTATATATGTACATATATTGGAAATTCGTTTGGTTTGCTGGAGAGTGACTTATTTTGGCTAGTATCAGTGTCAGGCAGGTAAATCAATTTTTTCTGGCAGTTTTTGTTTGTTTTAATTTTCAGTTTTGTTTTATTCAGAATGCTTGTTGAACTAACCGACATGAAAATATTCATTTACAAGGATAACATGGTTTTCATTGAAAAAAAAGATGTGTGATTCACACCATACATTATGATAACAAGTCGAATTCTAAAAGAAACCGTGACTTTGTCAAACAGAAACAATATCGTTTTTACAAAACAATTTCGTGTTCAATAATGTCGCTAAATTTTAAAATATTATAAAATTGATTTTAATATTATTTTTAAATTCTTAAATATTTTAAGCATTTAACCAAAGGATACAATTTTTTTATGATGAACAAAGACGTTGTAATTTTATCAAATAAAATATAAAATTTTGTTTATCAAAAGCAAAGCTAATATTGTCCTAAATAAAATTATAACAAACACTCTTTTAAAATACAATTATATAAAAGGTAAATATATTTTTTTGTAATATATAACTTGAACTTGGTTCATTAAAATTTATTTTATCAGAAATGAGTTAAAACACATTTGTAATTAATGAAAAACAGCAAAAAGGTTCTTCTTTTCTTATTCCTTGAGCATCTATAATCTTCAACATTTCGTTCCTTACTCTCTAAACATTATTTACAATTATCAACCCAAAAGCTTTCCCTATTCACTAATTTGCGGTCTTACCTTTGTCTGTTACCCTAACTAACTAACTAGGTGATTAACTGACTGACTAACTAACGTGATGATATAGTTGACAAAGTTGCCATACGCGGCACATTCCATTCCGAATACGGAGAGTTTAGTTCTCCTCCGATTCCGATTCTCTGTTAGATGTCAGTGTTCATGAAGGGCGCCGCAAACTGTGAATTAATAGAATTGCTGCCAGGGTTGCGGAAATTAGTGATGTCCTGCCGCAGAGGCTGCTCCTTTGTGCCGCGCCAGAGTCTTTAATTGAGGAAAAGCAGAGAACACGTAGAAAAATAAACCAAAGGAAATGACACGTTATAAGTTTATTAAATGGAAAGTCAAAAGTCTAGGAGACTTTAAGAAATTCGAGTAAAAACAAGGAGTTTTTTAATCAGAGTCACTCAGTAAAATCGAAACAAATATGTATTATTTTTGAGTTCAACATATATTTTATTTAAATGAAATCAAATTATATTATGGAGCTTGATGATGGGGAAACTCACTTGCATTCGCATGTCTCAGCGGCATTTGATTGTTGAAATTGTCGAACTGCGATAGCGACGCACTCAGTGTCTTTTCGCGCCTCAGCTCCGGATAATTCTCAATTTCCGCCACGCACTTGAGCTCCAGGATTTTCCCAGCCTGGAAAAAGCGCTGTCCTTGCAAATAGAAGTGCACCTGAAGCCGCTGGCGTCGCAGAACATAATCGTGGGCCGGAATACTAGTGTCGGTTGTGGGATGCAATTCACCCAGCAGAGGCTAAAACAGAATGGGAAGCGCAGTCAGCTAGTTTACAATTTTTTACATTTTATATATTACAATCTACTATTGTATTAACACGAGCTCCAAATGAAATTTAATTTTTTAAACCTACCTGTTCGCCGTTGATGTACCAGGTGAGCCGTGTGGGCAGACTGGAGTAATCAGAGGAGCAGGTGGCGCTGAGAAACTCCTCCATGCGGTACATTGAGTTGAAGCTCTCTATTAGCGGGTCGATCTGGGGCAAAGCTGCATACATTTTGGTGAATAATAAGTTACTGAAATAAATCAACTGTAAGTGCTAATAGAAAGCCCACCTGCCACCGTCATGTTGTCCGCCTTATCCGCAAGTTTAAAATGAGGGGCATCGCCGCTAACTTCGCACTTGTAGAGACCCGTAGACTTGGCGCCCTGTAAACTCAAATCAAGCCTGCAACTCGATTCGTTGCATACGTATTTCCCGTCCAGCACTTGCAGTCCGGGCACTCCGAACGTCATGTAAATCGGACTCGCCAGGGGGGAATATCTAATCTCAGGATATAGATTGTGAGCTTGGCTATTGAATATGATTTGCTGCAGTTACCTAAAGAACTCCTCGTGATCCTTGTACCACTTCACCGAGTTTAGCGTGTGACCACGCATATCGTAGCTGCAAGATAAGGTCACATTGTCCCGGAAATCAACAATCTCGGGCACACTAATATCCGTCACAAACAAGGCATTTGCTATGGGGTAGTCTAAAATAGATAAATAAAACATTTTAAAAATCAGTTTTAACACTCCAACAATTTCTAGTTTTATGTAATCTAAACTAAAATGGCCAAAAGCCCAATACAGACAGTAGAATATTGTTAGATAACAGTGAACCTGGGCTATTTCCTGTAATCGAATCGTAGGGCGTGGCAGTCCTCCTTTGTGTGTAGGATGAGTACATGGAAATCTGCCATCCTCGGGACGCTGGATACAAAAACCCACAGGCCAGTGACACAATTTTTGGTGACCAAAAGCCAGGGACATGTTCAGCGGTGGGTGTTGTATGCGTAATTTTTAATTTGCCCAGGTGACTGACCTGGGAAAATGGAAAATGGGCAATGCAGGGGGGATGGCAGGTGCTTTGTGGCCAAGTTCTGGCACATGAGACATCGAATAAATTTGAAATTTCATGAAATGAATATGCAAAACAGTTAGTTAGTCAGGTAGTGGGCTGCCTACGTAAACGGGAGATGGTGGGGGCTGGAAACAAAATGCAATGGCTATGGGCCATATGTAACTGGCATATGGAGCTTCCTCTAGTAGGTAGTTTCTGGGGCTCCAATTCCAGTGGGTGGCTGGTTCAGAAACTGATAAGAAATGCGGAGAGACCAAATGTCAAATGACTCGACTTTTGCCTTGACAAAAATAAATTTAACATGAGACGAAAGATGCGTATAAGCAGGACTGTAAACTGAAAGGACTTCTGCAAGAAGGATATGATAAATATTCAGTAGTTGAAAGTCTGTATGAAGATCTTTTAGTTTTTGACTGACTAGAATATCATATTTGTCTGTTTTAGAAACGGAATCTGTACATAATTCCAACTACAAATCTTAAAAGTATTTTATCACTATGGACGGCAGTCCATGTAGTGACGAAGCGCACCAGGAGAGTGTGCGAAGGCGACTACTATATATACACGAAGAAATGAAAATCTACTGTGATGGTCCGACCATAATGAATGATACACCTATCGAAAGGTATTGCAAAAACTAACAGGATTGCATACCAAGACTCTAAGAAAATCAATTGGCTTGGGAGAGAGAGCGGTGAAAGTGAAAAAGTGCAAATTTCGAAATTTGGAGCTGTTGGGGCCGGTGGGGATAAATGCCCCCTCGCAATATTTTAGTTGTGTTCTTATTGAAAATACCCGTCGAATGAGGGGTCATACGATAAAATCCGACGCTCCAACATACAAAAGTTCTGATATCAACATTTGTGACGAAAAATTATTACACTCGTCATTAAATACACTCTCTAATATTTTCTCATTCGGCCCGCCCTAGCATACTATTTTAGCCTTTTTACCTTCATAGGCATTTTCTATTGCAGCGTGCCGAATGAGAAAATCTTAGAAAGTGTATTTAATGACGAGTGTAATAATTTTTCGTCACAAATGTTGATATCAGAACTTTTGTATGTTGAAGGTGCGATCGTCACTAGTTTTTTACCTCGTTAAGAGGTGTTTTTATTTGATTTAATTTTTTTATAAAAAGTTTAATTTATTAATAATTACTCCCGTGGGCTACTTTAAAAATAAATGCATTAAACGAAATTAATAAAGAATAATATTATTAGTATTAATTTAATTCATTTAATTATTCGCAAGCAAAGTAAGGTAAATAATATACTTGATTGCGTTTAATGCTTTAAAATTTGCATTTTCATGTACAAAATAGTTTCCTTTTGTTAATGTTTTATTTACAATTTTAAAATACATACACCTTGCGAACTAACCACTAAAGCTTTTAAGCATTTCGCACATATGCAAATTAACATGAAGGCAAACAACATCGACAATTACACAAATAAATATTTTATTTAAATTGATTGGAGATAGGTGTGATTAAATGCGGCAAATTGTTGGAATTCATTACGCTTTACAATAAATGAAAACTAGCAAAAACTTTAAGTCGTCCGTTGGAAAAACAAACCCATTTCAACTGTGTGGATTAAGCTCCATTCCCCATTTAACCACATCCAATGGAAATGGAGGGAGCTAAGCTGGGAAGAGATACAAACATAGATATATTTACACCTCAGGACAGAAAAACTTTGCTGATAATTAACCTGTACATTTCATTCGAGAAGTGCCAAGCACACATTTGCGTACATCTACGTCCACCCCAAAGAAATTCTCACTGAAATCCCCACCCACCTAGAGAAAATGTACACATGCATTTTTGGGGCAGGACCAACGACGTCCAAGTTTGGTGATAAATTCATTTAGAGATGCCAAGTTGAGACATTTATGCTAACAATTCTGCTATGGCACTTTTTTAATAGCTCTCTGTGGTTCAGCGGCGGAGTATTTCTAACCAGGATCATGGGTATGTATACAGTTGTCACATTTAAAAAAAATATGTATTTAATATACTTTTTAAAAAAACTATTTATTTATTTTGTATTCATTTTTTCACCGAAATATCATAAAAACAAATAACAAGAATATAAAAAAATTGCAATAGTGTTTTCTTGAACACAACTGTATACAAAAATCTTCATAGTTCGGTAGTCTTTTGTGGTTAGCATATATACATAAATATTCATTTCACTTGCTCGGCCACTAAAACCCACAAAGTGGAGAAAAAGAATCTATAAGAGGCTGGCAAACAGTCAAAGTGTTTTTCCTATTTTTAGTTGCATCTAAATCCGCAAATTAATTGGGTGCCGTATAGCTGAAGAGTCCAACAGATTTTCAAAAGTAAATAAACAGGTCCCAGCTATTTGTTATTTGTTATAGTTGCTTTGCGGTTACCCAAGGCGACATCGTAAATTGGACGTCCCACAATGGACAATATTTAATTCCATTAGGCTGGCCAAATTGTTGTTCTCGTTGCCGGCAAACACTCTATATATAGAAGCGTTGAGAGGAATTGAAATCCTTTCTTCGGCTGTCTTTGTGGCGAAAGCCTTTGTGTTCGTGTCCTGGATTGCATGAATTCCCAGTCTGAAAGTGCTCAGAGGTGTGTGTGAAAAATGTGCCAGTGCCAGTTGAAAGAGTTCGGAGATGATGTGAACTAAATCCTCTATTGGGAGGTCAGAAGGTTTTGGTTATTGTCGGAACAAATTAAAAACCAGTAATTTTAGACAAAACTGCTTGGAAAAAGCAATTTTTTAAAATTAAGCTTCCCAATTCTTGGCTTTAGTTTGGTTTCCCATTAAAGTCTAAGCCAATTGCAGTTTTTAAACGTAAAATACAAAAAAAAGTGAAACCTGCTCTGGCAGTTGCCTACTTCCATTTACCAACTGAATTTCCCTCAACTTTTCCATTGCTCTCGCACACATGATGGAATACAATTTCTAGTTTCCCGTTGAGCGAAGTGAAAAGCGGAGTGAGCCAGCTCATTTAATGCGCTCCAAATTAATTGCCCCATTGCCATTGGCAATTCGAGTGCAGGAGGGAATGAAAGTCGGAGAAAAGCGGGAAAAAGCGGAGGGCGGCTGCCTTTGGCAGTCTGCCTAATTGCGAGCATTTCAAAAATACAATTTAAGTTTAAACTGCACTCAAGATGTGCTGCTGCTGCTGATGCTGCTGCTTCAGCAAAAGCAAAAGTTGCGGCAGCAGAAATTACCGAATGCCAAAAGGGATGAGGGCGAGGCGAGTGCAACTGCCACTGCAACTGGAACGGCGGCAGCCGTTGAAATTATGGCAAAAGTCATTAAAACAGCCAGAGGCAAAAACTTTGCCAATATTGATTTGCGGTTCGTGTTCTCGGCAAACACCAATAACAATTAAAATAATAATAAACCGATTCACAATAAACGACAAGGGCGATTTGTCCGGCTCGCATTACGCATACGCACCGTTGTCAGCCAAATCCCCGCCAGCGCTTCATTAACCAAACAAATATTGCAGATATATATATATATTCAATGCCAAAAACCATAAAAAAACAATAATAATTTCCTCCAATTCCGGCGGAGGGTCGCAAAAACTTACCAATTAAAAGTGCGATGAACAGAAACATCAGCCAGCCGTAATCCATTTTTTTGTCGTCGTCCTTATTGTTGCTCTTGTTTGAATAAAATTAATTGCTTCCAGTTATTGTTGCTCTTGGCTTTGGCTTTGGCAGCGGCGTTGATTTATGCAGTTTATCCCCTTCGCATCTCCGCATGGAGAAGAATCCCTTTGTTTCAAGTGCAGTCGGGAAGAAGGCGGGCAAAAAAACTAGAATCGAACAACCAAGTGGAGGTCAAACGGGTGGCTCAATTAATTGAACACTGTGTCAAAAGGAGATGTACAAAAAGAAAGCACGAAATCCACATCGAGATGGAGGAACAGGAACGGCACAAGAGAATATAAATAAATAAACTCGGCGACAAACTCATGCAGAAAAGTTCAAAGGATACGCTCTGTCAGTGTCGTTATAAATAAATAACAAACGTTAGAGCAGCCCAGAAAAAGTAAAGACGTCCAGGGAGCTGGAGACAGCAAGTACACGGAGAAAATAAAAAGCTGATTTTTCACTTAGCACATTTAAATAACCTAATATTTAATTATTATTTTTAATTGTCTAAAATATAAAAATTTAGTAGGGAAAATCATAATTCATTAGTTCTAATATTTCAGTAAAAATAATGTAATACATTTTTGATAGAAGAATTCATTACTATCATAACTGTAAAATAAATATCTTAACAAATAAATGTTATCGAATTCTAAGATATCACATGTGTTTTGCAAAATGGGTCGTATGAGCACTCCACTTCTCGGTGTATAAGCTCGCATGAAAGGGAAAGCAGGAAAAAACAGAAGAAACAAGGACGTGTGGGCGTGGCAGACGCCCTGGCATCCTGTTTTGTTGTACTTCTTGTGCGAGTGTATGTGCGTTTGTCAACTTAAATAATTTAAATGCCAAATTCAAACGAATCCATGTGTTTAATATTTGAATAAGCCATCCACCTGCCACGACCACGCCCCCTTTCGCCTGGGCCCTTGTGTATCAGTACCTTTTTTTTTGTTTTTTCTCTTTTCTTGTTTTATGTTCACTTTATTTTTGGCTCGGTTGTTCTTGTCAATTTGGGTTTGGTCGGAGTTAACATTAAACTGAAATTGAAGCACTCGACGGAAGCGGAAGTTACCAGTCCAGCGCAATTTAAACTTGTTTCGCTCTATTCTTTTGTTGGTTGGTCTTAAAGTACTTTCAGAACTTCTTTCTCGTTGTTTTCACTTTGGCAGCTTGGTTTTGCTTATTTTACTTGAATGTTATTATAGACCGCACGCTTTGGTTAATTGACCTTTCGTCGGATGTTTTGGAGTTTGACTATATTTTATTTGTAAAGTTTTGTAAGTTTCACGACACCGTAATAGATACTTAAGATGTACTTTAACTGAGCTTATAATCTCCCTGTCTTTTTATGTTTTATTTTTTTTATTGAACACGAATCGGTCGGCGATTGAGGACCCCTATGGAAAGTATCTCCGCGCGGCTTCAGGCTTACGAGCTGACTGAAGCTGCGGACTCGGATTCGTGAGTTCAACTTCACGGATGCCAACGCAGTCGGCTGCGCAGTCGGCGGCGCTGCCGCTGAAGGACTTCGTGACCGGCTATCGTGTAATAGCGTACGCTCAGCATCTCAAAAGGACCTCGGGTGCTGGGGATGCTCGGTTACACGACAGCTGAGCCTGTAACGGGACCCATGGGGCCCGAAGAGCGGATCTAAGAGAGGCGACGAGATTTTGTAGCTTTGTCGCCCGCTCTGTTGACTTTCGGCACGGAGGATGTTATTCTTAACAGCGGGAATGTTAGTTATAACAATAACCTTCTAAAATATCCCATTTATTACTGCTGTTATTGGGCTTTACTAGAATACTTTTTAACATTTTTTAGAAACAAAAAAAATTAAATATTTCTTCTAGTTATTAAGTATCTTAAATTAAACTAATTTCTTATTAAAAACTAGTTTAGTTAATTTTAAATATACTTTTCTTTATTGTACTTCGGTCCAATATTTCTATTAAAAGTATAGAGAATTCACATTATGCCAAAGATCTCCGAGGCACTGCAGCTTAGTTTAGCCAATCATTAACATATTCATACGGGCCTGTCAATAATGCGGGCACTTTAAAAAGTTTGCTTTGAAATCAAAAACCCCTTTCGTTTTGTTTTTGCTGGTGGCGTGCGAATTTTATAGTTAACGGATATCCTTGGTAGTTAAATGCAGACAACAAACGGAGCAGACCGGAGGAAAAGTCCGTGTTGCAGCTGCATGTAAAAATATTACGTGCATGGGGGTTGTTTTACTGGCGAGAGGGTGGCACATGGGCGTAGAGGGGGAGAGATGCTGCTGGTGTGGGCGGGATTCTGGAGCGAATGACGACGACGGCAGCACAAAGTCATCTTATCATTTCATGAATAATGCAGGGATTTGTTAGGGACACATGACTGGAATTTTACGCAAAAGTTGTGATGATGTTGCCGCTGCTGCTGCTTTTGCTTCTGCTGCTGCTGCTCCTACTGCTTCTTTTTCTTTTGCCAACCGCCAACACTTTGAGGTTGTTGCTATTGTTGCTGCCGCTGCTGCTATATGTTACTATATAACTGCAGTCTGCTGGGTGCGGCAATCAACAGAAAATTGCAGATTTTAAATTCAAAGCATTTTGCTCGCTGTCCCTTTTAAGCTCGCTTCCTAGCTTGTTGTCCCTTCGTCCTGTAACTTAATTCCAACGAATAATTTCTGATGCCCGAATATGAATATTAAAACAAAAGCAACGTGCGCCTGAGCATATGCCACACTTTCTTGTGCTGTAAATAGCGTTTCCGGATCCGGTTTCCTCACAGGCCACCTGCCTCTATCTGCCAGCTATTTATTTTATGCGAATTTCGCTCGTCTCCGCTCGCAAGTCACGTGACAACTCAAACTTTGTGCCAGGCAACAGGGAAAAAAAATAAAAATAGGAAAAAGGTATGCACAAAAACTTGCCAAAAAATGCAGAAGCTGTGGCAGGAGAAAAAAAACTGCAACTTCTTTCACGCTACACACTCACACGTGGGGATCCGTCTGCGCGAGGGTGGAATAAAAAAGTTTTCCTGCAAATAAATCAGAAATTTTAAAAATTCATAACTTTAAGTTTGCTTTATGACTTTTGTTTATAACGTGTTACCACACTGCGTATGCGTAACGCTCGGCTTGCAGGCGAACCAAACGCCTGAATTACAGACAGACTCCCGAAACTTGTCCGCCCCAAAGGGTCTTAATAATTAATAAGATTTTACCAAATAAGCAGGGAACGAGCTAGAATTATTCCGGAAAACTGGCAGAAGCTGCAGACTTTTACCTACCATTCGTATGTAAACATTGTCGCTCGAAACTAAACCAACCTTAAATGTATTCATGGAATAAAATGTTGGCCTCACTTCTTTAAATAGAAAATGCATTATGGAATAATCAGCTGCTGAAATAATTATTGAAGAAATATAATACGTTCCATTTATCAGTTCTGAATTCAAAGCATTTCCATTGGCTTTGATTTACCCAAATCTCAGGTCACCTTTGCGGTTCAGTGTGGGTCATGCATGGGTTTTGCCAAATTTGCCAATAATACGTTAGAAATTTGTGAAATGTTATGAAATATATTGGTAAATATTTGCAAATTCATATTTTGCTTATCTTTTGCCAGCTGGTTCAAAAGGTACACCAGCCAATAAATTCCTCACCAATCAAAGGCAACATCCTGAAATTTGTGGGCCACTTTCCGTCATCACATTGACACACTTTTCCTCCTTAAGTTCCGCAAGATGCCTGCAATCAAGGAGCCGTCATATTTGGCCGCAATTTCTTAGCTCATCCTGGGAGAGCTGCTCGATGACTGCTGCACGTTGCACTGAGCGAAAAGATTTTTTCCATAACATTTTTAATTATTTAATATAAGTCTTTATTTTAAAAAAGAATACAGAATATTTTATGCGTTAATTTTAACCACTATAAAAATAGCTGCCTAAAATGAATATTCAGTTCAGAGATTTTAAATGTGTTATTTGATTAATTTTTAAATCTTGTTTGTCTGGTGGGATGTAAAATTGTTTGCTTAAATAATTTCATCATTACAAAAGCACACATTCTTTTTGTCAGTGTTTATATGAATTTTTATACCGTTACCTTAATGAAAAACTAAATTGTCAATCAGCCATGAATTGAATCAAATGAAGTGTAAAATTACAATTTCATCCAATTTGCAATTAACTCGACGAGAAGATGGCAAAAAGAGGAGAATCTCTTTTTTCCAATTTCAAATTATTCCAATGGAACGCACATGCAGCTGGACGGTGAAGGGTTTTGTATCCCAGTATCTGTGCGATTCGCTGGCTGTTTACTATATGTATCCCTGAGGGGGGCAAAGGGGGTGAGTACTTTCACTAGGAAACAACATTTTGTGGGGGAGGAAACCGCAGTCATCATACCGGGAATGGGGCAAGTTTGCGCTTTTCTTCTGCCTGCAAGGCACCTGGAAAAGTGCAAGTTTAATTGCATCGAGTGTAACTAGTTAATGGCTGAAATTGCAAATTGAAATGGTGACAAAGTAATTGAGGTCAGGAAACTCCCCTCGGAGTCGGCGAATCGAGCGCTAATTACAAAACGGACATTGCAGCTGCCAATGGGGTCACTTGGCAGCTTTTCCGTGCGTCGCGTCGCATCGCGACTCGTTTCATTTTGCAGCAATATCGGAAAATATGCAACAGCAATTGCCACAGCAACAACGGCAGCTGCCAAAGTTGTGCGGAATGTCAAAGTTTCCCCGCTTCCGTCTTGCTTGCACTCTAAAAACATTTACAAATTGATTTTTTGTTGCCGCTGTCATGTTCGCAGAATATACGAAATGCACATATATATATTTTTTGGCATTTAAAAGGCCATTCACAAAGCCGCAACGGGACTTACGCACATCCGAGTACCGAATACCGAAACCGTTCTGATGTATTTAATGGAACATTTTGGCACAATAATAAAATGTCCGTAATAAAACGGTCATTTGCATGTTCATTTCAGCCAGCCGCCATAAATGCAAACAACTGGATTTTGCTAAACTAAATTCGAAAAGAGCTGATGCCGGGCCCTGGCTAAAATTAACGATTGCCATTTGCTTGTTGGGCCATGTCCCCCGACTAAATGCTTTTTGACGCGACCTCTGCATATTAGTCGATGCCAATGAAAATTTATTGAGTGGACTACCACACAGGAAAACTCTTCAATCGGCAGTCTATATATATAGATATTTTGTATAAAGTATATAATATAAAAACATAAACAGTATTTATATTTTGGACATCATCAAGTCATTAAAATTTAAAAAGACTAAAAAATGGAAATATTAAACGTGTTTTACAGCATTGTTACATTTTTGATTTCATTACACAGGACCAAGAGCACTTGTATATATTTGGTTTAACTTTCCATTTGAACTAAACAAAAAAATTAACTCAATTGCTATATAAGTATGAAACCATAATCGAAACTTCACTCAACTAATGGACATAACGTATCATTATTAAAAATAAATTTAAATAAATACGTACACTGGTTATAAAAACTTTATTTTAAAGTATTGAAAAAGTAAAGATATGCCCTTTTTATTAATTACAAATAATTAAGCGTTTTAATACCATGCCATCCACAAACATTTGTGAAACAATCAATCATTGGTGAATTAAGTTAAATATTCCCAAGAGCTCTCCTCGAGTATCAATAGCGTCCAATTTAACGAGCGTTGCATGACAGTCCCCTTGCCACTCGAAAAAAACTTAACATGGGCGCATTTTTTATAAATAAAAAAAAAACGAGGGTTAAATTGCTACAAAATGCCAGCTCCCAGCAGCAGCAAAAAATATTAACAACGTGTCAAGAAGGTTGCAAAATTTCGAGCTATTCAAGGAAACACATTTAATGCCCTGAAAAATATACTAAATATTTAAATATTTTTTAAAATACCCTTATTATTTCTTCTTTTCAATGCAAAATAACCAAATAAATCTGATATTTTTGCTACGATATATGCATTCTGCTGAAGGGCATTCAAATCAGGTGATGATCAGCGAATGTTTCAATCAATCAAGCGAGAGCGGTGTGAAAATCATACGAGCGGCGTGAAAAGGAAACGGAAATTGTTGCGAATTGTGTGCTGTCCACAGGTAAACACATCCGCATCCATACATGTACATGGTAGGAGTTGGATGCGCTGCTTGTGCTTGGGCAGCTGTAAATGCCACTTGATTTCAATATTTCAATCAGCGATGCGCACAGTTAGTTAAGCTTTTTGCATACATTATGCAATTTGAGCGGCCACAAATGATGCAGCGGCAGCGGCAACAATAACATCATTAGATCCAACCGCGGCAGCTCATCGCAGTTGGTCTGCAATCCCGCCAATGGCGACATTAAATCATCGATCCAACAAGTACCTGTTAAGGGCTTTTGCCGCATTTCGGGATCCGGCTTCCTTTCGGCAGTTGGCCAAGAGCCCGGGATTTTTCGTATGTTGTCTGAGGACAGAGAAAAAAATGATCTGGACTTTTTTAAAGTCTTCCAAAATCATAAAACTTGTGATTATTGTATAAATATTTTACAATATTTGCGATTTTTTTAAATTTTATTTATATCTAGTTACATTTTTCTTGTAGCTAAATTCATTTTATTCTTGTCCGTGTATCAGTCGCCATTGCTCTTTTATTTGTTGCTTGTACTCGTAGCTTGTGCATATTGTGAGTGCGCGCATTTCGAGCACGTGATTGAGATTTTTACATTTAAAACGTGACTGAAATACTTTGCAGTTTCGTCACTTCGATGCCTACCGCAGAAGGATACATTCTCGCCATTTACCATTCTGCCAGCCGACTCGTTCTCCATTATCCTTACTCCGTTCTCCGGTCTCCATTTTCCGTTTTCCATTCCCGATTCCCCATTTCGAATGCAATGAAATGTATTCAATACTCCGTCAATGATGTCCCAAGGACCGTTGGCCTGCGGCTGCCTTTTATTATTATTATTTTTATGTGCTGCTCTTCCATTTGTCCGGTCCCCACTTTGCCGGTCAGTGTTGTCCTTTCACCTTTCACCGTTCGGCTTCGTCCTTTTCAATCAACGGCAAATGGCCAAGTGTTAACTAGATTTAAATAATGCATTAGTCGTCGCTGGCTTTCTATCCGCAAAGTACGATGTTTGAAAATTGTCCCAGCCAAATTCATGGCAATCCTAGTCTTACAATTTATTTAGGCACAAGTTTTTTTAATACTTTTAAAAAATAGATAAGATTAATTCTTTAAAATATATATTTAGGTATTTTTATAAATAAATTTATTATTAATCATCAATTGAAAGAAAAGCTGCCCTTAAATTCAAACGGTAAAATTTATCTCCTGACAATGAACTTTTAACGTTAAAAAGCCATAAAATGGAAATTAACGAGACTTTCGACTATCAATAAATGAAAATTGCAATGAAAACTGGTGACATGTGTTTGAGCTGGCGAACCTAACAACAAACCGAAACAAAAATGGCAATTGAAAATTTTTTGATTAGCCGAGCCATTTGGGGCTTCGGCAGGAAGTTTCCGGCAACGCAACTGCAAACTGCCACAAATTCTCAATTGTCTTTGGCCAAAAACTTGCCAAAAAGGAGGAGCTACCCAACGACAGTTGCCAGGCTGTAAATAAAATTTAATGAAATGATACGATAAAGTTGTGAGTGTGTGATTTACACACAGCAGACCCGGAGATGGTAGGGCACGATTGGATATTCACTGTGAAAAATTCGTCGTGCTTTTGCTTAGCTTATCAAAATTCTTTATTTTAATCTTAGAATTTAATGTTATTATATTATCAACATATCGCTTTTCATTATTGACTAATGAATCTCAAACAAAATTATACATTTAATTAAGACAGATTGCTCCTACATAACCTGGTTTCTAACGTTTAGGGCTAAATAACCTGAAATACCTTATTAATACTTATATTTTAGACTTTTTCTAAACTACGAGCAAGTTTTAATAAATTGTGTCAATACATTTCTTAACTTCTAGTTAAGCTGACCTTAATAATTTTTTTAAATTGCTTTATGGATGTTCAATTTATTTTATAGCTCTTCCTGGTTTTTCTCGGTGTATGGCTTGTTAGGCAAGTCTGTTTTCTCACCCATTTTCTGTGGAAGTCTGGCTCTCGCTCGCTCTTTGTCTCAGTGCGTAATTTCAACATTGGCAATTAAAATTTTGTATGAGTTGCTTGCAATCAGTGCACAAACTTGCCACGCACAAACAAATACACTCGCAGAAACACCCACACAGATGCCCGCACACACACACCGAATCACATGCACACAGTTGCATGTGGCGACAAACTCAGCTGGTGTCTGCATAATTTAAAGCATACATTTAGGCTGCCGGTCCTGGCTGTGTGATAAATGCCAACCAGTCAGCGCACACGCACACACTCGCACGAACACCCACTATCGCACGCACACATACATCCTTCGCACAGGAGAAGGACATCAGTTCGCTGCTGCTGACAATTCCAAACAATTTGCCGAGTCTGGCAAGCATTTTGGGCTTGGTTCCCGTTCCCGTTCCCTGTTTGGAGCTGTGATTGCCGTCTTCGGCGCTCTGCCTTGATTGTAAGCCACGCCCACACGCAGACTCACAAACTTCGATACACTTAGAGAATCAAAACCAGGGCTTTAAAGGTGTTTAAAAGTATGCAAAGAACATAATCTGACTTCCGGATAAAAAATATTATGTAGCATACTTTTCGACACCTTATAAATTAATTTTTTGGATCCAAGGGATCCAAGGAATCTAAAAAGAATATTTCTGACTTCTATTAAAATTTCATTGAATATATATAAAAATTTAATTTAATTATTTATTTATAATTAATATAAAATAATTTATTTATTATCAATATTTCTCCGTGTACCAAGCCAGCCAGGCTTTAAATCCATGTAAACTACGAACAAATGTTTAGAGAAAACTTGTTACTTGTTATTCTGCATATTTAACAAACACTTCCACATGCTCACAGCTAACGAATCCTAACTCCTGGAACCCCTTAGATCCATTCAATCCCAAATCTCCGTCAAGTATTTCAAATTCGAATTATGAACAGAGATACTTCATTTCTTTGCAATTGGAACTTTGCCCACAAGGAGTTTACTTGAGATTTATATAATTTTATTTAATTTCTGAGCTGTGTATAAATAGGACATGAGCTGTACTAAATGCTAGACAAGTGATTGTGAAGTGATTGAGATTTTAGTGGAGTGCTTGTATTTTAGTGAGATTTGTGCACTATTTACATTGCGTAGGCCTGACGCATCATCAAATCAAAGTACATATCGTTGTCAATTGAGGCACTAATGGTGGCGTAGTAGTTGACAAACTCCTCGCGTGTAATCTGTAGTGTGAAATACGGTTAAATAAATATTCGGAAGGTGATTTCCTGAAGACTCACCTTGCCATCCAAATTTCCACGACCTCCCTCGAAGTTGTGAAGAAAATCAGTGAGGATCTCGTCCTCGGACTTTTCCCCACTTTGGTACTTTGGATGCTCCTTTACCGAGTACACATTCTTAAGATCTGCGATTGTAATAACACCATCATCATCGCGATCCATTTTGTCGAAGGCTTGATCAATAATATTTAGGCGGCTTTGTGGCATCGGTGGCTATAAAAAAATAAATTAGTATTTCCAGAGACTATTAACAAAAGTAGTCATTAATTTGAAGATATGTACGATTATGAGTTATGGAATGTTTAAGAAATTAGTTATTGAAGGCTTGATGGATGGATGCCTATCACTTGGCATATACAAATATATGTTTTATATATCCTCTTACCCGCAATTTTAGCAGGAACTCCGTCATGTTGATGGATCCACTACCGTCCTCATCGAAGCTAAAAAACAGAGCAATTTAATATCTTTCTGTACCAATGGCACACCTGTCACTCACGTGGCAAACATCTGCTTAATCTCCTCCTGGGTGACGTCCAAGCCCGTGTCCCTTATGCCGGTGATGAACTCCTCCTCGTTGAGCGCCTTGCTGCCATCGTCGTCCATTGCCCGAAAGGCCCTGCGATGAATAATCCAAAATTAAACGGTTACTATTGCATAATTCATCACAGCACCGATTGAAATGTCGTTAAAAGCCAATAGACCAATCATACCTGCCCAGTCCCAAAATGCCTGTTGCTCCGCGGCTGAAGCATAGCAATCGCAGCTTGGTAATGGGATCCTTGTCGGCGCCATCTGTCAGTTCCCGGAGCGCTTGGCTCGCCAAGTTCGCCTCCAGGGTGTAAAGGTCGCCATTCAGGGACTTTTGGAAAGACATTTTAAAATTTGTATTCGTATTTTCTGCTTGTGCGTACGTAAACTCAAAGTTTAAATAGTTGTTTGGGGATTTCTACAGAGCCTACTTTTATTCACAGCCCCTAAAAAGATTTATCGATTTATTTCAGCATGAAACTTGAACACCTGTGGCATTGAGTTACTTTTCTTGGACTTTTTATGTAGGCGTGTAATTAAAGAAAGTTTAACATGAATAATAGATTGTGAATAAAAACAACGTGTTCGGTAATTAAATAATTTATTTAATTCTAAGATTCTATTCTAAGAAATATTTTTATAATTTTGACACAAAATTATTTTCGTAAATTGTTGTATCCATAATTTTTTTCCGTCTATTTTTTTATTATTTGTTACTCATTATCTTGATTATGTGCAGTGCTTTTTTATAATCTTGAAAAAAGGCAAATAAAGCCGAGTGAATCAAAGCCAAGGTATCTGATTATTTACCCAAAGTATCTTATGGCTACTGCACGTAATGTAATTAACGCCAAGCCGCTTGCAAAACTGACTAACAAAAACATCCATTTATGGATCAAGTAATTAGAAACGCTGGGTAAACGCAAACAATTTCGAAACAAAAATATCACTTTAACGACAGTGAATCATTCGCATCGCCTCAGCTTGAATTTCTCAAGACGATCGCTTTAAGTTTCGTCACAATGCCCAAGCGAAGTGCTTTCAATTAAGTGGATTTTGTCACTAGACGGGGGGAGCAAAAAAAGTGGGGTAGGTTTTTTCATTTCGGTGAAAGCCCTTTCGCAATTTCTCTAATTGGAGCCCAAGGTGAAGGTCGCCGGCCAAAAGCTTAGGTCCACAAACAACAAATAAATGCGGGGAAAAAACAAGCCAAGCCCCGCAGAACTTACCTCCATGTTAAAGGTTTTTTTCTATTTTTTTTTAAAGACCTTTTCACTAGTTTTTTATAAAATTTGGTGGAGTCTTGTTTTTTATAGTCGCCCAACTGAATGGATAACTGCAAGATACTTGTTACTTTGGCGGCTTTGAAATGCAAACTGAAAGCGAAAAATAAAGCGGCGGCAATGAATAAACAGCCAGTCGCTGGTGGAGAGGGAGATGGGGAGATGTGGAGAGAGAGCGAGAGGCACAGCGGTGAGGGAACGAGTGGAAATGAAATATGAGCTTTGCCGGCTTTTGTGGCGAGGGAAAAACTAGTTACTAAAAAGCATTTACGCTCATGTAGAGCAGACAGTTTGCCCCAGACAGAAAGCCACTAGCTCGCTCACTCACCTGACTCATCCGCCTAATAACTCGCTCACACTGCCAGTGATGGCAATTAAAAAAAAAAAAAAAAAACATTATGTTTTAAAGCTCCAAGAATATATTTTAATTAAAATAATCACATACTTCCTGTGATAAAATTAAATCCTCGCATAAATAAATATAAACATTTTAAAAACAACATTTGCTAAAACAACTTTATCTAGCCCTTAAATAATAGAGTTTTCAATGATTCATTTTTTAATTTTCTTTAATTTTAAATTAAGAATTGTGAAAAAATTTTAAAAAATATTCAGATTGGGGACAACACTGTCCGTGGAATCCATCCGGCCTTCTAAACATTTTATTTCAATTAAAAAGTGGCTAGTTCCCAGCTCCTACACACCAATTCCGTGGCAGTCTCTGGCCAAATGTTTACCTGCGACCAACACGAGCCGACAGAAAAAAATACAATCGCAATGAGTGTGGTCTGTAAAATTGATCTAGATAAAAAAAATGGAAGCACCTAAAAGAATGCAACTCAAAGCGTCCACTAGTTTGAAATTTATTTGGTTTGATTTTATTGCTTTTGCATAGCAACCAAAACAGAAAGGTTAAAGTTAAATAAGCGATGAGTTTGATTAGTGTCATTCAAAAGAGTTTTGGGGAATGAAAGCGGATTTTTGTTGTATAAATAGTCACATATTAAGTCTTGGCATTTGACTTTTGCAGAATTTAAAACTGGTAGGAAAAACTTTAGCAAATTAATTGATTTTTGAAAATAAAAATATAATAAGTAAATAAGTAAATAATAATAAATAAGTATTTCTCATATTTTCATATATCAAATGTAAATATAATTTTTTTAAGCCTAATGATTTTTATTGCCTATGGTCACTAGTCATAATATTTTATGTTTTTAGCTGTAAATATTGTAGAAATCCCAACGAGGGTAAATTGAAATTTTTTACCCTAATTCTTAAATACCAGACTAAAATCGCACAAAAATAAGTTCATGATATCAAGAAAAATGGTAGAAGTCAATTTCATTTTTTTCCCAACGAGCTAAATGACATTCCTAGTGTATTCAGGTGCTCCAGTCCCTGAATATTGATTATTTGATTCCTTTTAGGGGCAACGTTTATTTTGATTCAGCTTGGTTATGTCGGCACCCTGTCATTTACTTATACGAAGGACCTCTAATTTGCGTAATCGCCTTGATTTTAGTTTCCATTGGCTTAGCTGCTACTCGTGTTCCACGGTTCATGTGTGTCTCATATAATATGCATACGCCCCAAGAGCACCGTGTCACTCGACCATTAACGGAAATAAACCAGGCAAACATGACAGCGCAATATTTTCTCTACGACCCGTGTGTTTGTCTATCGTGGGCCAAATAATCATTCATGAATCACTGCCGGCGGCCAACACTGCGTATACGTAATATGCATTTGAATACACACTTTGAAGCGTCACTTTGATCGGTTTATTCGCTTTAAGCCGGTGTTTTTGTTTGATAATTGATTAATTTATATTAACCTTGAGGCTCCAGCCCTTCGTGCGGACGGCCTTCAAGAACATTCCGCCTACCGAATTGGAACTCAACTAAATTCAGCCCACCAACCATTGGCACAGAAATAATATAAGCCGCAAAAGTAAATGGAACTAGGCAACAGCTCGGGGTGAACCACAACATACTGCGGCGATGAATGGGTCACATTGTAAATAAGGGGGAAGGTGACTCATATCGAATCTTTGAATTAGTCCCCGATTAGTCAGAGAAGCTACACAGAGAAAACACTAAAAACAAGAGAGAACGTTATAGTCGGGTGCCCCGACTATCAGATACCCGTTACTCAGGTTAAGTAGAAAACGTTGATCACGCATAACTTTTTAACGAATGGTCCGATTTGAAAAATTTCTTCTACATTTCGATAGGTATTGATAAACACAATAAAACTGCATTTTTACTTTTCCAAAATATTAAAATTTTTTTAATCGTAAATAAGCGATTGTGGGCGTTAGAGGGGGCGTGGCACCATTTTGAAACAAACTTGCGCTGCGTAGGAACTCCTAAAATCTGCATGCAAAATGCCAATCTTCTAGCTTTTATAGTTTCTGAGATCTCAGCGTTCATACAGACAGACAGACGGACAGACGGACAGACAGACGGACAGACGGACATGGCTAGATCGACTCGGCTAGTGATCCTGATCAAGAATATATATACTTTATGGGGTCGGAAACGCTTCCTTCTCCCTGTTACATACTTTTGCACGAATACAATATACCCTTTTACTCTACGAGTAACGGGTATAAATATATTATCATATGTTAAATGATCAATAACTTAATTATGAAGTCTCTTACTTAGTGGAATGATGAGTGCACTTTAATTTGTATGTATTATTAAATATTTCTTATCGCTTAATAATAATGTTAACATAAATTTAATGAAATATCCGAGAAAAATTAAATGAATCCCATAACTAAATCTATTTTCGCTCAGCTTTTATAGAAAGTAGTACTTTCAAAGTACCCAACATCTTTTCCATTTTTTAAAAAAAAAAAGCTTTTCAGTGGAAAAGAAGGCCAGCGAATGTCCAGTGGAAATGACCTGAAGGTTTTCCACCTTTCCACACATTTCCCCCAGTTGACTGACTGCCCGTCTGAGTGTGTGGGTGTGTGAAAGGCGGAAGGAGGGAGAAGCATGGGCGGGTTTCCGACGGGAGAGTGTGTGCATTGATGTTGTCAACGCATCAACTGAGCCTGAACTCAATCAGTGAATCACTTCACAATTCGCTGATCAAAAGGAAAACAATCATACGCATTTGAAGTGTCAGAAATTGCCAAAGAGGAAAAGCCTCAGCTGTGGGAGAGAGATGGCCAGATATGCGAGACAGAGACAGAGGGAGTAGCGAGAAGAAGACCAGGACCCTTTCGTCCTTCGTCCTTTTTGCCATGTTGACACACTCAAAACTCTGCGACTGTGTGCGAGTGTCTGGCGTGTATTTTCTTTTTAATCAATTTATATGCAAATAAGTGAAATGCTTAACTGAATTTGAGCTGTCTCTCTGACTGACTGACTTGCCCCCTTCACCACCACTCGGCTCCCTCCTCAATCATTTGGCTGCTTTTGCCTTTTTGCCAGTTACTTGATTGAAAACGTTAAACGCATTGATTAACGAAAGACGCAAATGCGAAAGAGACTGGGATTTAATTGAACTTGTTTCCACGGAATTCCCTTTGCCAAGTCCACTGATTGCAGCATCCAACTTTTCCCATCCGAAAACCCGAGATGGGAAGATCCCGAGACTGTTGCAAATATTTGCGTGGCCAACACTCGAGCAGCCGGTAGTCAACCACATTTAACTAATATGCCTTTCAGCGAACACAGGCAAAATGAATCCAACCAGGAAAGAGCACTGAGAAAAAACAAAAATATTTCTTGAAAATGTAAAAAGGTTTTAAAAAAATACTTTTTATTAAAAATATTTAAGGTGTATATATACATTTATTTATACTCATCAGTTTTTCCGAAAATAAAAATATTTGTAGTTTTTTAAGACACTTTTAACTTTGTTCAGTGCACTTAGAGAGCTCCTTTACCCTTGACTTTTTCATCAAAAGCGTGAACGACTCCCACCTAATCCCTTAGAGCACCTTCATCACACCGGCGCCAGTTTTGACAGGCTCTCGAGAATTTTCGGGCCTTTGTCTGTGGCGACGCCTGTGTGTAAATTGATAAAATCAACTTGATAACTTCATTTCATTAAGTAAACATTAATCACATTAACTTTTGTGCCTTGTGTCGGTCTGGGACTGGTGCCGAAATTAACCCTAAATGCTTTCCGCCCTTCAGACCGTAAGATCTGTATAATTTTAATAAGAAAATCTGCTTGTCTGCTTTTCACACGCTCTCGACCTTTGGACCACAAAAGGCAAAAGTCTGCCAGGAGTGTGTCAATACATATTCAGCTTTGTGTCCTTGGGCGTGAGGTTGTATGTGTGTGTGTGTGTGTGGGGTGAACCCTTGAGGTCAAGGCGCATAAAACTTATTACTTAATTTAAGTTGGGTCGACTGTAAACTTGACAGAGCCGGGGCACCAAAGAATTTATCATGTTGGCAAATTTAATAAAATGCGAAATACATTTTAATACATTTCGTTGCTCGAGCGTCTTTGGCTTTGTCCTAATTTTCGAAATGAGCATCTGCATATTTCAATTTCCAGCAGATTTACATAAATTTCATAAGCCGAACCGAGTTGAATTGAGTTATTCATGAAAAGGGTTCATTCTACTCTTTGACGACGGGGGCATTAAAGAATGGTTATTCGGTTTGAGTAGGCATATGAATTTAAGTTGGTAAATAAAGATTTTTACAAGCTTCAAGTAACTTGTATGCTTCTAATAGTTTTTACAATTGATTATAATTATGTATTTATATAATGTATGTAGTATATTTAGTAATGTAATATTAATATGTAATATTTAAATTCATATTACTATACTCTAGTTAGAAGCAAATTTTAAGTGCATTTAAAATTCGAACAATCCTTGATATTTATTTCGATTTGAACTTTGTCCCTGCCGAACTGTCAACTTGTCTGGACCCAAGTCTGCTTTTGGTCTACTCCCGAGTCCGTCTGAGTTTTGATTAGTTGGGAGCGGGCTAGAAATTATTAAAACTGCCATAACTGATCAGATCTGATGATGGACATTCGATGCACACGAATCGGTAAACTTTTTTCATTTGCTTGTCGGCCTTCCGAGTTGGCCAA